TATTACAAATATTCGTTTTGAATTAAATTGTCCTTTAGCCTTTTCAGATGCAATTTGAGTGTTATGAAAAGTAAATAATATAGATTATTTCTAATAAAGTGAAGTTGGAAATAATGATGTGACAATATGTGGAATTGCAAAACTCACTGGTCAGTCCTTATTGTGGTTAGCATTACTGGTAGGAATGCATTTAGTCAGCAGCCTCAGTAGAGGGGAGAACCTTCTTCTGGACATACTCCAAGGCTTTGCTTGGATCCAGAAACTCCTCGTCCTCGTTGCCGTGTGAGACTCTGGCTGGGTACAGTAGACCGTAGCGGACTCCCTTCCTCCCTCGAAGGACTTTCCGTATGTCCGTGAACGCAGCTCTGGCTTTGGCAACGCCGGGTGTGTAGTCTGGGAAGATAGCGATCCGGTTGCCGTTGTAGACGAGCGGTGCTGTGTCTCGGGCTCTCCTCAGGATCTCCACTGCATCCCTGTCATTGTGAACTTTAGCGATGACCACCCGTGGCTTCTCCTGGTCGCCTGGTTTCCTGGTGGAAGATGTGCGGTGCGATCGATCGATCTTTATGTCCCGGTCCATCTGCAGGACTTCTTTAATAACTCTGGCGACTGTTTTCGGGGAGCTGGAGTCCAGTCGTTCTTGAATGCCGGCTATTCGGATATTGCACCGTCTCATTCGCCCCTCCATATCCTCGCATCAGTCTGTTAAAGTTGTTACCGGTCTTTAAAGGCTGGTTATAGTAGCTTCTTGTGCGGCCACCTCGTCGGACCATGTTGATAAGCCGCCTTTCATGTCTTGTATTTCGGCTTTCATGTGGTCAACTTCTGTTTGGATGGCGGACGTGTTTTTAGCTATTTCAGGCCGCACCGCTTGTAATTCGGACTTGAGGGCATTGAAATCTTCGGCTAGCGCACTTTTAAGTTCTTCTCTTAGAATTTTAGAGATGTCCCCCTCTAACGACAATAATATGTCCGCTTTCATTCCTTCAGCGGTCATACCTGGACTTTCACTTCGGGTGGGGGAGGGCTGGTCCGGGTCCCCTGGGGGGCTCTGCCTCGTGGTTCTTGTAGCTAGCCGCGATGAGCTAGCGTCGGGTTTATATTTGTATTTTTTTAAGCTTTTCTGCCATTCACGACGGCGTAGTTTGCAAATGTCAGATTTTAGCCACCTTGAGTTGTCCTTGGCAATCTTTTAGGCTGGTATTTCTGCAGTAGGAGCTGTTTTTTTAATCAAAATATTGTTGGTGTTGCAGGAGCACGGAAATTTGCGTCTTACTCCATATCTTGCTCACTAGCGCCCCAGGTGTAGGTATTTTGATCTTCAAATGAATCCAGACTCTTATGTATTGTAAAATAATTAATTGACAATAAAATTCAATATAGTCTAGAGAAAATGGCCTGTCGGTACGCAGGCCAATTCCTCGGAGAAGAATCGGCCGATTAGCGTGATTGACACCTCATTGGAATCGTTAGAGCCTATAGAATTTAGTGTTTCCCCTAGGTTTCGAACCTTGTGTGGGTGAAGGGACGGGTCTACGGGGAAAGGACGGTTAGTAGTTGTTTCGGGCGGACGTGCGCTCACTGTCCGCTAGTGCGGGCGTGTAAACGTGTTCACAACTGTTAGCCAACCAGGAGCAGCTTCATGGGGAACGTCGGGCTGTCGCACAACGTTTGAACCTTCCACCTGGCTGTCACGATATCAAATTTGTGTTGTGCGATTATTGCACCAAACATTATTATTATCCAGGCAGCCGGACCCCGTATTAATGATGTGGGGTTTCCCAAAGGGCCAGAGCAAAGAATCCAGTCCACATCATGTATACTTTTAAAATGAGTCCAAGTATACCTCTTGAGGACTGGTATCTGTAAGATTAATGAATGAAAATGAAAGCTAATGTCTTAGAGGTGGAGATTGACAGTGGGTATAGAATGACATTAAGAAGATGGGCTTAAACTATAAAAATATTACGTTGTGATAATTACAGTATTTCAGTATAATTACAGTATTTCAGTACCTTTCATACCCAGCTTCCATGGGGGTTCATGCAGCAGAACCCTCCTCCACAGAGCATCTGGTATTGCTGTGTTTGTCTCTCCGATTTGAAGTAATGCTAAATATGGTAACCCACCTTAATGACTTCTCCATCCTATCGGACAACAACCCATTTACTCCCTTCAGTCAAAGGGGTTTGTTTTTTAATTCAAAGCGTCCTCGCGGCTACAACAAGGTAGCATCATCCAGAATTTAAACCATGTATTTTAGTCTTTATTGAAATGCATTGAAAAGACAGATCAGGACTTGCTAGTTCTTTAAGGATGTTGTGCACCTGTCTGTTTTACGCTTCAGAGAGCCTGTGTGGGTCCCAAGGTGGAGCTAATAGAGGGAAAATGATTTTCAGAAAGGCAGAAACATTTCTGCCTGTTACATCAGTGTGTTTTGGCAGAGGGGATTGTTCCACGGAACGCATGTGGTGTGTTGCCTTAGGTTTCCAAAGCCCATCTTCTGCATGCACCTCATTAACCCTCACTCTGTCTTCCAAAGCTGCATTTGGAAGTTGAGCAAACCGAAGCTGTTGGCTGCCTTGACTCTGGCGGTCAGGTTTTAGTGCCAGTTGAACAGGCCAGTTTGCATATGGAAGCATCGCTCGATCTTGCTCTCTGTCGCTGAGAAAAGTGGTGGAAGAGTGTTCTCACTCGCAACACAGTCGTCTCTCTCCTTCACCAGACGTTTTAAATTTTACATATTCTTAATCCCAGATAAGATGACCACAATATCTTCTCAAACCAATTTGCTTCTTGGGCTATTTAGCCATTTTACTGTAGTATTTCCAAAGCCCTGTAATGAAGACCCCCTCCCTTACAAAACTGGTACGAAGGACAAGCCTGTGCTCAGTGGATGTCATTTTTTATTAAATTGTTTGTTTAGTATAGATGTTGAAGGCCAGGAGTGATGTTGGTGTAGATTTGATTACTTTTGCTCTCTCTTTATATATATTTTTGTATAAATGTTGCTGGAATGATCCATTAAAATCACTCACCTCTGCTGTATCTCCTTTCCAAGGTGTTCGGCCATAAAGAGTTCTCGGGATACTTAAGCACCTTTTTATGGTTCTGGAAGATACCAATTGTTGATTAGCAGAGGGGAGGAAAGATAACTAAATTGTTAGTTCAAGCTGGATACTAGGGGTGGGAATCTCTTGGCACCTCACAATTCAATTCCCATTCAGAGGTCAGCGATTCGATTCTAAACGGATTAGCGATTATCAATTCTAAATCGATAAAACGATCAATCTATCTCAATTTTTAAAACATTTGAGTTTGCTTCTCAAATCTGAGTTTGCTACTCAGATGTTGCTAATCAGTTCCTACTTTGTTTGAAAATTAAAGAAAATGAACAGGTGAATTACCTTTCTTTTTTTATAAGAGAAAAAAAAAATCTTAGTCTAGTTATTGCATAGTCTATCAACAATGCAATAACCAATGCAGCTTGCAGCACAATATGAAAGTAGCCTATGTAAAACAAATATTTTTCTTATAAATTATTAAAGAGAAAGCTGCTCTTAGTCAATGATAAGAATAAGACTTCAAACACAAAATGTCCCTTTTATTATGGGTAATTACACCCTGTCCCTGAGAGCGAAAAAAAAGTTATGCTACTTTATGGCGCTTGCATTTCAACACATACATTCAAAAGTAAACCGAAATAACATAACTGTGCTAAATTAAATCATGGCAGTATACCATGAATGTGAAACGTAGTAAAGGTGTTTAATTTCCAGTTAATAACTGGTGGATGGTCACGGAATATGCAAGTGCTTGTGTAAGAACAGGAGCTGGTCGACATATAAAAATGTAAAAAGCCATGGGTTAAAAATGCAATGTACGTCGCTTTGATAAAACCGTCAGCTAAATGACCTGTAATGTAATGACAATCACAGCCGCCAGAAGAGAAACCTGCCAGACAACTTCTGGCCAAGACAATTGTCTTCATTGGGGGTGAGCGGGGCACTGGTCAGGGTCAAGGCAGTTTTTCTCAGAAGTAGGCAGTTTCTATATAACAATGCAAGCAAGTCAGAGCCTGATAAAAGCACTCTGTCCAGATTTTTTAAACCGGTGTAATGGCATAGGAAATACTCTGTACTCTTGCCCAGATCAGGCCATTGCTCATGTGTTCATGTGCGTTTAAGGAGACGCGGACTATTTTGCACCAGTTCTAGTAAATGGTCAGAAGGAAGACACAGGGGGTTGCAGACAGTGGTACTATCCAGCTTGTGGCCACGTGGGTTGAGAATAAAATCTGCGTAATTTGTATTCATTGTAATGAGCATGTGTATCTTATGGCTGAGGTACATCTTTTAGTGGGTGGACAAACTTTTCTTATACCAGCAGCATTAGCTCCCAGGCTGCCATATGCCATCATTGTTAGCGATGATTTTCCAACCCTGCGGGATCTTGTGCAGCAGGCCAGAAAGGGCAAGTCTAATGCACAGAACTCAGTAACTACAAAGGTTCCAGTTACCAGGCCATAGAAAGCTTCTGCTATGGTAGATTCAAAGGCTCAAGAGTACTCCGTAGTGGAGTCCTTACTTTATGTACTTGTCGCCTACCGAAAGTTACCACAGGCTTACATGTGCTTCTCACCATTTCAACTGATTTGATCCCTCTTCTGGACCCAAGGAGATATGGCGTGTTTCACCATTTTTGTCCAGCACAAGATATGGCTAAATAAGATGCTCTAGGGGAGCAGAGGAGCCACGGGGTTCCCGAGCGGTTGGTAGTTGAGTTATGAAGCAGTGAATGGTGCACCCTTGTTTTGGAACCCCCCCAAAAAAGATTCTGCATTGGCTTCTGGTACCTGAACTGTGTCTCACTCCTCGATTCCTGAACCATGCCCAGAATGGATGACCTGGTGGAAGGAATTAGGAGAACAGAGTACATCACTACCCCCAACCGATTGTGTTACTGCTAACTTCATACTAACTGTCTGTCTGTGTGTGTAGGTACGGTGTTACACCTGAGAACACCATCCTTTATGGTCAGAGCATCGGCACTGTGCCCACCATCGACCTGGCTGCTCGCTACGAATGTGCCGCTGTCATCCTACACTCGCCACTCATGTCCGGCCTTCGAGTGGCCTTCCCTGACACGCGGAAGACTTATTGCTTTGATGTCTTCCCCAGGTGAGTCTCACCATAGCAATCGTTACTTGGGAAACTAGCAACTGTATTGTAAAATCCAATTTACATAGTTGGGAACAAACTAGTGCCACTTCGCAATGTGACTATGCAGACTATCTGTCTAGCATTATCATGCTACTGTGGGAGGACACCACCTGGACACCACCTGGTTTCTGTTCTGCATCAGTGTTAATTTTTGGCAGCTATTTTTGATTTAGTCTTAGTATTTAGATGAAAAATTGATATTAGTTTTAGTCAATTTAGTCATTTTAATCCTTCTTAGTTTTAGTCTAGTTTTCGTCGACGAAAACCCAGAACATTTTAGTCTAGTTTTAGTCGACGAAAACTAGACTAAAATGTAATTAGTTTTAGTCTAGTTTTAGTCACATTTAACAGCCATATTAAACTCATTTTCTTCCCTCCTCAGGCCCAGGGACCCTCTTGTGTTGTGTCTACAACTGCATAATAGTCCAGCTTGCAGAACTTGGTTGTCCATTAGATGTCCCTCCTATAGGACAGGTCTATAGCAGGGGTCGGCAAACTTTTTGACTCGCGGGCCACAATGGGTTGTAAAATGTGACTGAGTAGCCAGGCCTAAGAACAAATGGTTGAAGTGTTTGTGTGAGCTGATATAAATGACATGTGAAAAATTATTACATGAAAGGATTTGGATTTTAACAAATAGCAAAGCATTTATTTGCAAGGCAATTTAACAAATTGGCAAAGGTGTAACAACTTCATGAGGACCAGGGATCTAAACGCAACACTTTGTTGTCTTTGTCTGTTTGCTTGCAACGCTTTTGACATGGCCACCGGAAACTTCATGCTCCTTTATTGTTTCCACGGTCCCAACAAAAGACCCCTTAACGTCCTACAATCGATGCAATACATTATTTTCTTTGCTTCAGAACCTGCAATAAGTTTATTGTGTTGGACATGTTTGGAGAAGCGTGTAACGGGCTTTCTCATCCAGCCGAGGAAACGCAGCCTGCCGTCGCCAGAGAACAGAGCAGAAGGTCCGCATGGATCTCTGCTGGCCGACAGTCTGTTAAACGGGTCTTCATGTTTCTGTGAAGCAGCGCGGCTTCAGCCTGCTAACAGTCAGCTAAACCGAGACAGCTGAGCTAAACTAAGGAAGCGCACATTCAAACTCGCCGAAGCGTAAAATAGTCGTCGCGGTCCGTAGTCGGTGCACAAGAACCACCGCTGCACCGATGCGACCTAGCGTTCTGGGTTTGTGGATGACGTCATCATGACGCGTTAATATCCGCCGTACTTTGCATGTCTGTTGTCTGTTAGATTCGTGCAAATTTAAGGGGTCAACCGCCAACATGTTCGTCTGGTTAACGAAAGTTAGAATAGATTTAGTCATAGTTTTTATTTTTTAAGATCGTTTTCGTCACGTCTTAGTCTCGTCTTAGTCATGGAAAAAAGGTTCGTTAACGAAAAATTTTCGTCATAGTTTTCATCGACGAAATTACACTGTTCTGCATTTAATTTTAAGTTTTTTTTAATGTCTCCGCTGGTAGAAGTGTGCTCACCTGTGTGGTGTCTATGTGCGCGGCCATCGGGGCGGGACTCTGTTGTGTGCAGAGAGAAGTGAAGAATTATAGTTGTGAAAAAAACTTCCCGGGTGGGGGGAAAACACTGGACGCTGGCGTGTAGATATCATCTGTCTCCTAACTAATAAACGTCCTTCTTATTCATCTTGTGCACAGAATAAAGATCTTCATCACTTCCACACCTCTTTATGGTCCAGTAAGGAAGACGTTTAACAGGATTAGATTACACTAAAGAACGATTAAAAAGGACTCTGGCCTCATAAGGTTAAAAGTGGACTCATCAGATCTGGGTTGTTGAATTGAAATATGTTAAGGCAGCTTGATAATAAAGATCTTGTGAATGTTTTCCATCCTTTTGGTTTTGCTGGTTCATCTGGTTCTTTGTCAGTTTAATCAGTTTTGACATTAGTTTGACAGTTCGTTCACACCTTGTTCACACACAATTTACTGTTTGTGTGGGAGAGAATCTCCCAGAAAAAGTCTTCCTTCTAAATAGTAATGGTGAAATAGGACAACCAGTTGACCTCTATACTCCAGCTAGGTGTTAAGAGGTGGGCCAATATGTCAGTAAAGATCCCCAATGATGGTCTAATGCTAGCTAATGGTAGCTAATGTGGAACGCAGCCCTAAGCTAGTGCTGCTAACTTTATCTGGATCTAAAACCACAAAAAAAAGGTGATGTACACACTCATTCAGCTCTTGAATGCTGAATGAGTGTGTACAGCATCTTGGGTTCTAGTAGCACTATTAGGCTGCTGTCAAACTAATCCCGAATCCAACTAGACCAAACTAATGGATTGTAATGTTACATTGCAAGTCAATTGAATATTGAGCTGGTAAGTTAACTAACTTAACTTCATCCTCCCTTTGGGGATCATTGTAGACTAATCTGCATATGTTGTCATTGTTCCAACACTTAGCTGGAGTATACAAGTCAAATGTCTTTACCACTTCACTAACTAACTTACTAACCCATTGCACTAGCATTTCATTCCACTTTATTTTATTACTTGTGCACTGTTGTCTTGTCTGTCTACTGTCGCGCACTAACCGCCAAGACAAATTCCTTGTATGTTTGACATATTTTGGCTAATATAATGTTTCCTGATTCCTATAGCTAGATAGCCGTCTGACTTTTCTCTAGGTGACTTCCTTCCACCCTGAGTGTGATGAGAGCAGAACGGCTGCCATGAGAACATGGGGACGTGTGTTCTTGACAGCCCATTGTCAGCCCCCCATCACGTCAGTATTAATGCTTACCCGTATCCCTCTCTCTCTTTTTGCTGCATAGCATTGACAAGGTTTCCAAGGTGGCGTCCCCTGTACTGGTGATCCACGGTACGGAAGACGAGGTGATCGACTTCTCTCACGGCCTAGCCATGTACGAGCGATGCCCCCGCGCCGTCGAGCCACTGTGGGTGGAGGGAGCAGGCCACAACGACATTGAGCTGTACGCCCAGTACCTGGAGAGACTCAAGCAGTTCATCTCCTTTGAGCTCCCCAGCTCCTGAGGGGAAGCAGCACTGAGGCCTGGGTTCATCTTACCACACCGAAGAAGGCGCTTCCTTCCCATCCCTCACCTCCTTCTCTCAGCATAGGGGCAGGACTGAGCTGATCACTTTGTTCCTCCCTGATCTCTGAGCCATTTCTGGGTAGGAATGTGTAGTAGACTGGAAGAGGTCCATGAGAGAGTTGTTGTAGCACTGGCCGTCGCTCCAACATGTGGACACGCGTCAATGAGCCCAGGCCGAGCCCATGTTTGCACTGCTCAATTTGAATTAATTCTCAACTCCTCCTTCTGTTCTTTCCTTACTTGATCATTGTTCTTTGTTTCCCCCGAGCTGTTTCCCCCCAGCTTCGCGTTTCACTGAGTCCTTACGCTGTTTATCTTGTTTTTTCTGTTGCTTTTTTTATACTAGGTGAAGATGTATCAATTTTGCACCTTGAAATACAAATGAAGTTTTTGACTTTTTAATGTATTTTTAAGTTACCATTCAGGGTTTTACCAAACGATTGCACTTTTATTGTGCAGATATTTTCAGGTAATGGTCTCGTTTGGAATGTTAGTGTTGATTCTTATTTTTGTTTATTTATCTGCATTCCATGTTTTCAATGCAGGTAAGACTTTTTTCAGTGGCCTGTGTTTTAAACGCTGTAAACCAGAGCGCACAGATGCACGTCTGGTCTTTCTAGTGGTCTTTGTAGTCCTGACGCATGCTTCTCTCCCATACAGGAAGACAATAACACGAAGCCTCATTGGAAAATATACCAATTTAGAATGCCTACCTCATTGGCATCCAAACAAATCTACATGAACATCATGGAAGTCCTTGAATACTTTGGAGTCACTTCCTTAATCCAGAGATGGCAGTAAAGTACAATAGGTCATTGAAGTTGCAGAAAATGACACCAGTGACATTTCAGCACCTGGTAAAGCCATCAATGAATAAGTGATATTGCTCCATGACCCATAGTTTAATTACGTGCATTAAATCCTCACTCGTGCAGAAGCTTTCCTTAGTAAGAGAGAGCAGCAGGTGTTGTACTCTAGTCAACGGGAGATCATGTGCTCATAAGATCGGATGAACAAACGCCCGTGGCTCGGTGCTGTGACCCAGAATCGGGGGCTCGGTGCTGGAGAGTGCTCCGTGTCGCTATCACTCCTTTGACTCTACAAGTAAAGCCTTATGTCTGTACACATTTCACCCAGTCCTGTTGACGACAGCAGGTCTTTGTGGACTTTGGTGGGGCTGATAACCGCTGCTACTCCTCAGACAGTCAGTGAATCACTGTGAAAGGCGGCAGTTTCGGGAGCGCTGAGAAGAATCCTGACCGCTGTCATCTCCTTAGTCAGCCTGCAGGAGGAGAAGTTCACCTGCAGAGCGCTGTGGTCCAAAGAAAGAACCACAATGGCTGTGGAAGTAAGCCACGCATGCAAATCACCTCATAACTGTGCACATTTCAACTATTGATTAATTTGTCCATCTAACCTGTGACAAGTGAAACCGCAAAAGTGACCCAAAACACACCTTGTGAAGTGAACGCTGATCTGTGTTCTGAGGAAGAATTACACAGTGATTAGTGATGATAGACTGCACACAATCATGTATTGCTGTGAAGTGGTTTATCAGTTAAGAATTGTGTTTTCTCATTCTAGCTAACGTTGGGCTTTCTTTTGGTTAAAGAGCCCTCAGTCATCTCTAGTACATTTTTTTTCAAACTCCTTTTTTTTAGGGAAATGGTTTTGTGCTGATTATTGTTTTGATACTGACATTTTTTAGGTTTTCCAGTCTAAATGTTGATATTTACACTGTCTCTGAAGCCAGTTTGTATAATAAGCCTCTGTAATGGTATATTTAATTATCTTCTCTATACATATTAGCCCTCACAAAGGGTGCTTGAGTCTCATTGGTTTAACATTACTGGAATCACATTATGCAAATGAAGAGCAGACAAAGCCACCAGAGCCTGACTGGTAATGTGTAAAACATGATATAAGCCTTAAACACGCCGAGAAAGTGATTGTCATTCATTTGGTAGTTGCAAAAGGGCAGCAAAATGGATGTTGTAATGCTCATAATGGAATAAAGGATGCATGAAACCTGATTGTTTCTGTGTTAAAAAGATTCTGTTATGACTCTCCTGCTGGGATCTTTTTGGAGGGGGGCTTCTCCGTAGAAAATATGACTGAAGCCCCTCATACAACTCTTCAAAAGACATTAGCCAAATCTTTTAAGGGGCTTTAATCAGTGTGCATATTAGAAGCATGTTGGTTCTTTATTAGTCATTAGAAAGCATTTTAAGACCCAGTGCAGGTTTCAGTAGCATCTAGAGGCGTGTTTCAGATTGCGACCATTAAATACCCCTCTGCGAATACCCCAGTATGACGGTGGAGCTTCTCAACTCAAACCGTTTTAATGTTTGTTGAATTTAAGCATAAGGGTACACCTAGCACTAGGAATTATATGTTAGTGAATCATGAATAGGGATATAATTCTAGTTTGTGTATTATATATTATATTAGATTCATATCTGCAATATGAATTAAACGCATGGTATATCTTGTAAGTTATTTAAATGCTGTACAGATAACATCCATACATATTGTAATGTTCAGCCTGGGGAAGGATGCTGGAACCTTCCTTGATGGATTTCTTCCATATTTTCTCTACACTGGAAGTTTTTTCTCCTGTCAGAGCAACGGAAAGGCTATTGTTTGATTTTGGACCATACGAAATGAGTTAAAGATAATGATTAAGATGTAATTTAAGCTATTAGATTATAATATTATGCGTAGCCTGTTATGTTTATATGGATAAGCTTTAGGTCAAAGGTGTAATCATTAAATGTATCACATACGGGTGAGGAAATTCATTTTCTAGTTTAAACTTAATTTTCATCTCAAAATATCTTTGATCGTAAACTGTGGCTGCCAAGTTGAAATGATTTCAGTCCATGTGTGCATAGTGTATGACTAAATGAAATCAAGAATAGGATGCACTACATTTACTTGGAACAAAGTACCACCACAAAGTTGTCAGCAGAGTGAACACACTGGTTTGATGGATATTACTACTCAGATGATGACTGAGTTAGTCATTAATGAAGCATCTGACTGTCCACTGGAAAGCTTTTCATTCGTAACTAATATCCTACAAAATTATGTTTCATCACCTCAAAACTCATGGTTAATGCTGCACATTGAAACAAAATGCAAAAATAAATAAATTAGTTTGTTATTTACAATAAGTCACATTAGAGTAGACCGGTGAATAATGATGGGATGTTTGTGTGCCATTCGCCGTCTGTATCCACATGAGGACCTTGACGGTCTATGCAGGCTGGGTCATTTTAAAGTCAATTAAAATCAGTTAAACCCTGTACTTTTAAAATCAATCCAGTGAATAAAGACAACAGCAGTAAAATAAATGTCAGCCTGTAACCTTAAGAAATTACAGAATATATACAAGCTATAGCTGAATGTTACCACATACATCATTCTCCTTCAGCTTGAGCAACGCAATCAATTTCAGTTTCTTCATGTATTTAATGATGCTGTTATAACCAAGAGCAGTTTGTTCACTTTTTTGGGACAATTGGGACAAATTTACTGTGGCACTGTGCCAGGCTGCAGAGCACTGGTGCTATTTAAATAACAGGTGACACAAGGTGTGTCTCATCCTTTGCTTCCCTCCAGAGGGTGGTATCCTGGTAGACTTTAGGTAGGATCCTGTTTACCTGTCGGCAGAAATGTTGGATCCACCTTTAAAGCTAGAGGGAGTTCACAAACTTCAAGCGGGAGGCAGGTGGTGTAGTGGTTAGCACTATTGCCTCAGCAAGATGGTCCTCGGGGCAAAAGCACCCAGCAGCCTTTCTGTGTGGAGTTTGCATGTTATCTCCGGGTAGCCTTACAGTGCAAAGACATGTTTTGGGGGTCAGGTTAATTAGTGACTCTAAATTTCCTGTAGGTGTGTGAATGGTTGTATGTCGCCATGTCAGCCCTGTGATTGACTAGACAATTTCAATCCAGGATGTACGCTGTCTCTCGCCAAATGTTGGCTATCAATGGAAGCATCATTAAAAGACCCTCGAACAATTTTGTATTTATGCTCTCTAGGCCACATATAAATCACAATTAGTGGGGAGACAGATTGATGATTGTTAAACTGATCAGAGAACATAAAGAAAAACAAAGCAGATGCTGTAGAGGTTATCAGGAGGGCAAATGAAACACAGGTTTATAGGTTTGCTTTTATTCTTACATTCTTTGTCTTTTGCCTCCCAATCACGCCAGGGATTTTGAAATTCTCCCTCTCTCTCTCTCTCTCTCTCTCTCTCTCTCTCTCTCTCTCTCCCCCCTCTCTCTCCCCTCTCTCTCTATGGGCGTGTCTTTCCTCCAGTTGGAGTAAGTAGAGGCGCAGCTGCAGCGTGCGCTTTGGCCCGGGAATGGCCGTGTCTCTGCGCTCAGACACCGGCACACACATTCACAGCGCTCCGCTCCATCACTGCACTCCTCGGCGAGGCGCGTCCCACAGGCTGCGGGGGTTGATGCGGATTTCATGCTACAGGTTGGTGGTTCTCGGTACACTGTGGGTATGGCGCGCTGTGTGTGATGGGGTTAGATACAGAGCAGGTATTTCGGGGCGTAATGTGGGCTCTCCGAGCCACAGGTGTGCCGGACCAGATCCGGGTCCGGACCGTGAACCCACACAGCACCTTTCCATGTCGCGGTCGCTCCTTTCCTTCAGCAAACCGTACGTGGAGCTGCCGGGTACAAACCGACCATATATGAGAGACGAACGTGTAGGAATTAGAGGTGTAATCTCTAACAAAAGACAACTGTCTACACTCTTTTCTGAAATAGAGCCTGTTCAGATTAGCGCGCGTGCTCCCTCCTGCAATCCGCACATTTTGCGCAGCTGTCTGCAGGTTTGCCCTCTTCCCTCTGCGTGAATGGAAACCCGTACGCTGCTCTCCAACCTCCTTCCAGCAGCTTAGAGCTTTCCCCGTGAATCACTGCAGAGACGAATCTCGTCTGCGGTGTAGTCTGTCCATCTATACATCTGCAGGGCTGTCATTTTACAGTATAAAGTTCAAGTGTCCAATCTCTCCCAATACGGTCCACATCTAATCCGTTTCCTATGATTGGACGTGCATTAATTACATAATCTGCTACAGAAATGCTGAGGCATACTGCTTTTTGAACTCAATGTCTAATTGAACCGTTTTAATTGCAAATAAATGTATATCTGGCACAAAGTTCCCCATGTATGTGGTACTGTAATATGGCAACTTCCATATGGCATGCCAGTATGAAGAAAATTAAATAACATGGTTTAGTATTCTACAGTTGACGACTACATTTTAAACGGTTTTGCTATTGATATTGTGATTATGATTGTTCACATGGTATCTTACATGCATTGTTCCTATTAACATTACAATACTCTGCATCTGCAATGGAACTCACGATTCAGGCATCTGGGAAGGTTTGTGACTGCAGAATGTGGGGATCAAGTGAAATCTGCTTGGGCTGATGAAATAGCGAAGCCTCTGAGCTGTCTGTGTCTCACTGCTGCCTGCTTGTGTTCCCTCACCACCTCCGGTGTCCTCCAGAGAGAGGAATATCACAATCATAGGCAGAATACCCTGTAACACGCAGCAGGAGTGGCAGTTATGATGAACATAAGGAGGAGGATGGCAGCATTCTTGTATTACAGTTTGGGTTTGAGTGAACAGCTCATCCGATTGTCAGTCTGGAGAGGGTTGATGAGATCAGAGAATATTGAGGTGTGTATGTAAAGCTAGAACAACAATTATACAAGCTGAAGTGTTGCAGGATTTCCTTATATCTACAGCTGACTTTTAAATATGCGTGCGTGCGTGTGTGTGTGTATAAGAGGACAAATAATTTATTTTCTTATTAAAAATAAATCAGTGATTTGCATCACTGATGAATCTGTGGATGCTCTGATGTGTTTTAGAGCTGCTGCACACAGACTCTGTCTAGACAAATATTTTACTCTGTTTTAAATGGAGCTGTCAGAAGCCATAAAACATGATAATTCCTCTAGATGTTCACATCTCTCCTGCTTGACATGTTGCACTGCTGCTTATACCAGATTCAATTGTTTCAGATAGGCCTCTCTGTAAACTGTTCATGTGGTGCGTATGAGGAAGGCTTTTATGCTGAAAGGTCAGAACAGAAAAGGAGATATAGTGTTCTTCTGTTGCCTTTGAAAAGTGTAAGCATCTGTTTTTTGAGGGGACGTTAGCCTAAATCATGGTGTTCTGTGGACGTAGCGCTGGGTTTAAAATATCTTCACAGTACGAATTTCTCACATGCCGTCATACTGGTCCATGGCTGTAACAACTGTTGTCGCTCTTCAGCAGGCAGCAAAATGTATTGTTCAACATTCACCAACAGGGCGCAGCGGTCAGAGCTACTTGTCTTATGTGTATAGAGATGAAGTCATAGTTGTAACTTTCTAACAACAATTAATAACCCTTCAACGAACGCTCTTTAAAAGGGTAAAACACAGCAGTTTGTGACACAAACAATTAACACTGTCAACAAGAAGAAACACTGATGCAGGAGGGACAACAAAAGACTAGAGATGCACGGATACAACTTGTGCCCAATAGAGGAGCTGTTTCACAGTTCAGCTCAACACCCTCCTCACTGTATTTTTCAGTCACTCCCACCTCGCCAGTCTAACGCTCTTCACCTGTTCACACACGTGCCTCTGATCACGAATCAAATCCCTATTTAGTCTTCTCCCTCAAACCCATACACACACTAGATTGTTCTTTCGCTTTCATGCCAGACTCTCCAGCACTTGTTTTCAGACGGTCCTCCTGTTGCCGACCCTGCATGTCCCTGTTTAACCTGCAAGCCCAACTACCAGCCCTTTGTCTTATTATTACTTTGCCTGCTGTTTCCGGCGCCTTAAATAAAAGGTCAAAGATCGCTGGAGTTGTGCATTCACGTCCACACACAAATCGTTACATGCAGTGTGTTTGGAGGGTTTTGGTTTAGAAAAATCCGATTTAACTTCGATCAGGAAACGATTCATTGCAAAGTTTGTTGAGCTGCTGGTATTCCTTTTGAGCCCTGTTCCTCGTATGTGGTTCAACCAAGTTGAAGCCCTATGTTAGAAGAGTAAATCAACGAAACCAGGTTTTTTTTTAACGGCAAATTTTTTCTCCGCTGACGAGCAGGAGACCCAGTGAGCACAAGACATAATTTCAACGTTGAAATCAAGTTGAAATGAGGTCTGAGCGCCTAAAGGCTGGCGCATGCTTCTGCGTCGTTGCGTCGACGCACTCGTTTCAATTCATGGTTCTAAAAGTCTTGTGTGTGTTGCAGAGCAATTCACCTCCAGAACAACAGGTGGAGTAACGTGTTTTGTTGAAGACGACCTAGAGAGTCACGTCTGTGTAAGTCGTTGGTTTGTTTATATATTTATGATAGACTTTATTGCCCCGTGCATCGCCACTGCTGCTTTTCATCGCGGACACATTTGTCCGGTATTGTCCTCCTCCTTTGAACTTTGTTCCCCTCGACCGGCAAACCGACGTTTGTGGAGATCTCCCTCCATGAATCGGAGGTCATCCGCGCGTCCTTACCCCCGATTTCCACCAAATGCGGAACGGCTGCGGAACGGCTGAGCTGCGTGACAGCTCCGTGTTCCGTCGTCCGTCAATACCCACCAGGTCCGGATTTGTTGCGGAACGGCTGCGGCCATGATTGACAGCTGACGTCACAAGGCCCCATGTAATCTAGCGAAATCTGGTGTGATCGCCCGATATGTAGTTTCTATAAACTTAAAAAAACTTCAACAGGCCTGTTTCCGCCTATTATGACGTTTTCAAGGTGTAGTGTAGGGAAATATGTTCCGCCATGAGCACGGTGTATTTCATTTTGGAAATTAAACTGATCTTTTATTTTGTTTCTGGCTGTTCTGTTTTTTTGCTTGACTTCCTGTCCTGCGTATTCTGCCCTGTAGTGCTGCGCAGCGCTCCGGCATCCGGCAAAAATAGAAGCTCTGCGTATTTGCTCCGGAGGGCTGCGGATCACCGGAGTCGGAACGCAGCCGTCCCGCAGTCAGTGGAAATACACACATTGACTTTAATGGAAACCTTTTGACTCCGCCGCCGTGCCGGAGCCGTTACGCAGCCGTTCCGGAGTTGGTGGAAATTGAGGGTCATAGTCCGCCAATGACGGCTTGTAGAAGTGGTCATATTTACGCATTTCTTCCGACAAAAGCTCTTCAATGTGATCCGTGCTCTCGTAAACATTCTTCGTTATATCCTTTCAAAATTTCTTAGCAGAGAGGTGCTTCATCTGGCTAGCCGTGTAGTGGGAGATCTGGAGGTCATCTTTAATGTCAACTGCCTCCACACTAGTAAAATCTGTCAAGTTGTGGGAATAAATGCTCTTCTGTGTTTTGTAGGGATCACATCCGTTTTTCTCTGGCAATCACAGCTGCGTTCAAGTTCAACCAACCCTTTAATGCATTCAGTTTCATCCATTTGCAATTTGCGCAGTACACTGGAGGAACTCAGTCCTGACTGAGAAGAAACTTTTCCTTTCCAGTTTCGGCTGGTGTTTTCATACATCCAGTCAAAGGAACGATGTGGTAGAGCGCAGCCACTGTGGATGATTGGCCAGCAGTCAAAGGCCACAGTTTCCTTGAGGAAAACATCAGCTCTCTGGCCTCATCTGTAAGAGGAGCGCTTCTCCTTTGGCCAGGCCTGCCGGCTGCAGGCAGCCTTCTGCTCTATGAAATAATAGCTTTGAATTCCGAGAAAAGGTTGTCCAGAGGAAATTTGGTATTCCTTTTTAACAATCCAGCAAGTCCTTAATGCCTGAAATTGTTTTGGACCGTAGTTTTCTTTCCTGTACTTGCTATCCTGCAACATAACTTGCATACAAGAAGCCCCACCTCTACCCAGTCCATGTTTTTTTTATCAATGAACAGTATTCATGGATAATTGGCTGTTAATTGACTGCAGCACAGGTCTGGCACCATCACAGGCAGCTGCTCATGCTTTGTGTGCAACAATGTTTTTGTGATTAAAAACAGATGAAATACAGACTGAGATCCAGCTCCACCTTGAAGTGTGCAACTGCAGCTGCCCAAATATGCAGCAACTGCTTAAAAGCTGATATCAAAATCACCCAAAACAGCCACATCTTGTGTTTTGTTTCAATGCCACGTGTCCAATCGCAGAAGGGGGGGTGTAGTGTTGCACTCTCCAACCCAATGTCAGGGTTCTTACACATTTTGACCAATGAATTTCCATGAATTTTCCATGACTTTAAACCAAATTCCATGACCAAATATTTAGTGAAATCTCGGTATAGACACATGAAAAATTGAGAAAATGTAGTGTTCAAACTAACAATGAGGATTGTAAATAAAATGACATAGGCCTTTTGAGTCAACACGCTGGACAACGTTAGACTCTTGAAGTGGGGCGCGAGCCCAAACGAGCAGAGATAGGAGCATTTGCTTTCGCCACAAGCAAATTGCGCCGCGATCTGGCTATCAGGGAACATCCGGCGAAAGAGCTGACTGACATCTTCGGATGACTTAAAAGAAAAATGCGAATTGGCAACCTTCAGTGCCCACATTACCTCCGCGGTGAGAATGTCATTTTTCGTAACCGCGCCATCGTTTAACGTCGTCTGCTTGTTGGCCGAAGCAAGCAGCGCACTCGGCGTAGCACTTGCCGTAGCCGCTGTAGCGAAAAGGACATAGATAAGGGGTCACTGTCGCTCTGCTAGCAGCAGCGCTCCGATGTCGGCTCCCCTTCGCATGGCTAGTTAATGCCGCCTCCCCCATGTTCGAAATGTCAAAAGATTTGCCTCCACACAACCTGCATTTTGCTCTTCCCGGGTCTTGGTCGGTTGTAATCCATGCTTTGAATTTATCAAAAAGCAGCCAAGCATTATTAAATCGACATTTTCCTGGCATTGTGAATTTTACCGTTGACGAACAGAGCTACTGTTATGATAACTCGGGAAAGCGGACGGCATGTCACATGTTAGGGTGCGTTCACTCGCAGCGCGAATAATTAACACTGCGAGTATGAGAGTGTATGCCTGCTTATATCTTTACTTTAAAATCAAATTAAATGATTTAAAATTCAGCGTAAATGAACGACAAAAATATGAATATAACACATTTCCATGACTTTTTCATGACTTTTGGGATTTTATTTTTTTCCATGACTTTTCCAGGCCTGGAAATGAGCCTTTCAAAATTCCATGACCTTTCCAGGTTTTCCATGACCGTACGAACCCTGCAATGCTTTCTGGACCCAAGATTCACGTTCCTACTAGGGCTATCAAAATTGCTCAAGAAGGACATTCTAATATTCACTTTAAAAAAGACATAAATTTGAATATCTGGTTGCGCATTAGGCACGTCAACAGGACAAATGTATACAACAAGACATAACTACTTGTATAGGTAATTTATTTAAGTTTAAACTCATTCAACAACATATTACCACACAAAAATAAGTAAATTACTTATAAACGACCAAGACCGCAGACCTCTCACTCGCACACAGTGAAGTCCAAAAGGCGAGAGAGGAGGTGTCAGGTGTGTTCCCTGGGGTGAGTGTGGGAGGGACTGATGGAAGGGACTGGTGTAGTCCAGGAGGTGAGGGAAGGGGGTGTGGTTGAGAAGGTGGGGGGGCAGAATACACAGGAAATTAGTCTCATTGAAGATAGTCAGACACCCAACTATTGGCCCAACTGTGTAAGTCTGCCTTCCTTCTCCCAACGTGTTCTCCCAAGGTAATATAATATCCTTGTGATTCTACTGCATAAGATATTATAGTTATGACTGTCTTTTCTTACAGACCCTCGACATACACACAGAGCTGAGTAATTCTAAAAAGAGAATTTACAATCCAGACTGGTTGGCGGCAAAAGCTTCTGTGATTACAGAATCAGACCATGAAGCCCTGGATCATGTAGCAGGTCGAGGAGTGCAGGGATGGATAGCTATGTTACACATATCGCATCACTGACTGGGCTGTATGCAGACACACGTGTATGCCAGTGCAGTAAAGAAAAACAGCTGAGATATGAGTAATTTCTCCCATAGGCATTGAGTTGCAAAAGTCACGGGCAGCAATCAAAAAGGATACTCTGAATTGGTTTGATGTGTTGATGTACTATCAATGATGGATAGGAGCTGTAAGTATTTGCCATCATACATATTGTATGCCTGTTATCTAGCTGACTATCGGAATCAGAGACACTCTTGTCATAGTTTGTAATTCTGCCAAATCAACGTATGATGGTAAAATAATCCCTGTGATGCACTAGAAGTGCGTGCGTGGTAGGGTCTATCTGCACCTTCTATTTCTCTCTGCCATTTCTTTGTGTCAGCAGAGAGGACTCACGAGGGGGTGCAAGCCCTCGCCAGCCAGTAATTCTAATTTTGTAGAATTTTTGTGTCACAGGTCAAACACAGGTTGTTATGTATCTGTTTGTGTTTTCAACTGCCACTATTGTGCGCTGCTATCTTACAGTTCTTACTGTCTCAGTAAGCCATTGGGGAGACACACAGACAGTGTAGACTGCTTCGAATTCACAATCCAGCCACTAGAGAAGAGGAGACTTGCATAGGTTTATTAGTCCTTACTTATTTGTGGTGCTAACCACAACCAAAAACATGAAAAATCATATGTTTAATGTGTCTGATTAACTACTTTGTTCTCACTTACACTAATCCGACTCTTTATTCGCTCTCCAGCTGGCTCCCCTTTGTCTATTCCAAACTACAGACGCTTGTGCTCGGCTGACCTTTCTTCCTGCTGAGCACTAGTGAGCTTTCACTGCTGTTAGCCATGCGTTCCTGAATGGTGTCTTAGGCAACCCCACAGGTTAGAGATCACATTAGCAATGACACTCGACTCTTTCCGAAGAGGAGGAGGAGAAGGATCTACAGTTCTATCCATGAACAAGCATTTTCAAAAAAATTGAAAGTGAAAACAATGCCTATTGATTGTTTGAAGGGATATTTGATTGGTTACTAATATTCTTGAAATTGTCAAATGCCTTAGGATCCCCCAGTCAGTCAGAGCTGGTAGATGTTTAGTAGAAGTTTGGGGTCCCCCTGCTGGAACTGTTGCCCCCGCGACCCGACCCGAGATAAATAAAATTTGTTTATTTATTTTTTTAATTCTATAAATACACATATTTGGTTCATATCATTGTTAATAATTTCATGTTTGTATGTGTCTGCATTGAAAAATATGTATGGCTGTTCTTATATAAAGTTTGTGAATCCTTTCATTAATACTGAGGCAGATCCGATAACATACAGGTGCATATCAATGAAAAGTTAATTTATTTCAGTAATTCAAGGCAAGAAGTGAAACTCTTATACAGTGGGGAGAACAAGTATTTGATACACTGCTGATTTTGAAGGTTTTCCCACTCAAAGTCTGTAATTTTTATCATTTATCACAAAAGCGAAAACGGATAAAAAATAACTAAAACGAACAGAAATGGAGAGCATTTACCTGTCTGAGCAGACTGTCAAAAATGTTGTATTAAGCTCTAAAACTAAATGCAAATACAGATTGTGAATAAAGAGTTTATTGAGGTGCAGCTGTTCTTTTGAACGGTTTACTGTTTTTAATCTTCATTCTGTTCGATACACATTGTGGACTCGGAGGTGACTCCACTTTGACTTTTCTTGGCCTACTTCAGCCAGAAAAAATTGGGCCATTTCCTTCAGGAATGTTGGAGTGAGACTCTTCTCCCAGTGGGTCATGGTTCAGTGTAGTCACACAGTGTTGTTGCCAAATTAAAAAGACCTGGCTCCAGGCTGTGATCCTAACTGAAAGAGGGTGATCTGAGGACGATTGGGATCAAAGTTACCAACTCGCTGGCTCGCATGTCTACTATGACGGTGATACAACACCGTTGTACAACGCTCCAATGTGAGGTGAAAGACTTTGACAAGATAAAGGTACAATAACGGCCATTTTAAAGTAGAGCAAAAGCTACAATAGAAAAACAAAATGTAAGGGAGTACAAGTACTACAGTGAACAGTACCTTAAGAACGTGAGTCGTTAGTAACTTTTGGTATTTAACATTGTTACGTGACAGTATGTGGCCCCCCACCTAAAATGAGTTTGACACCCCTGCTCTATAACAAGAGCTAATTCCTCCGGACTTGCCAGCTTGTCTTGCGTGAATTACCGTAAATATTGTAATGTTCAGTCGTCAAGCCTGATATGTAGAGTGAACATTTAGCTCGACATTTAGATTTAACATTTAGATTTATATTTAACATTTAAATTTAACATTTAGATATAACATTTACATTTAACATTTAGATTTACATTTAACATTTACATTTAGATATAACATTTACATTTAAATTTAACATTTACATTTAACAATTATATTATTTAACTTTGTTACTGCCAAACATTATCCTCGGGAAAGTTATTGCATGAATTTACATGAATTTCTCTCTAAATGTTTGAAAAAGTGACATGTGAATATTGTCGTGCTTTTTTGTTCATATGATAATGCTAAATGTAGCAAAATTGCGCAGGATTTTAGAACGTGCAAGATTTTACAAACAGCGCCCCATACACGCAGGCTTCGACGCAGCAACTTAGGTTTGTTGTTGCTCTAAATGGCTACACGTCACTCAAAGAATCGCCTGTAATGCTCTCACACATTTATCCTATTCCTATTGTTTGTCTGTTGGCAGTGAGCGCTCTGTGTAAGGTGTCTGGACCTAATCATTTGTCCCAGAAGATGCTGAGCTTGTTCCGCCAGGCAGCTAAAACCGTGAGTCTCTGAAATGTCAGCTGCTCTGTGATTTAGGAAAAACAGATAATGACACATTGGTCTTCCGCAGTGTGTGTGGTGGGTGTGGATAAGCTGTAACTGTGATTTCTGAGCAACAAGGCTGTTATGAATGAAACAATTCATCTTTCTCTGTTTTGGGCCCAACAGCCATCTGTAATCTGATATATTTAAATGTGTGGTCAGAAACAGTAGGCACACACACACATTATTTCTCAAGGAAGAAACCTGTTGTAACCGCTGTGTTGACTCACAGACAAGCCTGGTGAAAGGTTGTTTTGTGTAGTCAGAAATGCACCAGCCAACCAGGTATCCCCCGCTGACATCTTCTCCCCAGAACACACCTGCTCTAAACATTCAGCACAATAACAGCCTGCTGCTTGTGTCTCTGCTTCTTGATGGAGCAACAATGTGCATTGGGGTAATATGCTGATTGAAATGGTTTAAACTGAATATATTAAATGACTATCCAAGTTATTCATGTATTGCACAAACAGACAACAGAAAACTATTGCGTAGAATATGTTTTTACAATTAAGCAAAACGGAGTCAAAACCAGTATGGCCTACTAAAATCTGAGGATAAACATCTATTTCAGGCATAATGTTTGTCACAATAGCATTTAAAATCAGACCGTATTTTGCTGGCCTCACATTATAATTCTCAGTCTTAAAAACAAGATTTTAGTACAGATCCTTGTAAAAACAACCAATCCAGTCTACATCCAGGACATGGTCAAACGAACATTATGTCATCCCGACTGTTTGCTGTCTGCCTCCTAAATGGTGGAATGAGCTCCCCAATGAGATCAAGACAACAAAGGTTATACAGCTAAAAACACACCTCTACCGACTATCCCTTGAATTAGTAGCACTTAAGATGGCCCTTACTTATAGCACTTGGGCTTTCTTGAACAAATTGTACTTTCTGGATTCTTATTGTTCTGGGTCTGCACGCTCTTGGTTGAATGCACTTATTGGAAGTCACATTGGATAGCTTGGTCAGCTAAATGTAATGTACATTGTCACGGGAGGAGTCAGGATCCTACAACACTGAGAGTGTAATTAGTCCCCCGACGGGGTTTATTGACATTTGTTACAAAATACCAAGCAAGGCGCTGTCCAACACATGCAGGAGGACGGTAGTGCTCCTCTTGCGGTCTGTCGTCGGGTGGGCCATGGGGTCAACAACGAACCCGGGTTTCCGCGTTGTGCGGGCTGAGCGTCAGGCGCTGGTCTCTGAAGACCGTTAGAACACGTCTCTCTCACTTGCCCTCCTGGTTTGGTGTAAGCCTGCCGCTTAAATGGGGTTTGGTTAAGTGGCACCAGCTGCCTATAAGCCACAGGTGTCCACGCGGCAGAAAAACTACTGCTGACACAGAGAGGCCTTTTCATCTCAAAAATGGATTTAGATTGGTTGCCCGTAACTTAAATGTTGCATCATATGCATTCCTACGTGTTTGAATATGATGCACAAAATGGCTGTTCAAAACGCAATCAAACGTCTTCCTCGTCGCATTATCTCTTGCACCTGTCTGTCTCGCTCTCGCGCCCGTAAAAAAATGATACATTAGCCGCACGGTTGTATAAGCTGCAGGGTTCAAAGCGTGGGAAAATATAAATATGTATGGTAATTAGAGAGAAACTCCTTGTGGCTCCTTGAAGCCGTAATGTTAGACATGAGTTTTTGTGAGTGGAAGGGAAAACCCTGTGGTTGAAGTGAAAAACCTGCACTCGCTGCCTTAACAACAAACATTGAAAACACTGCTGGTGCGTTGCTGCTTTGTCTTTGTTTTGCCTCAAAGTTGGTAACCATCAAAATACCTTAAAATGATGTTGGTTGGTGGTCTACTGTAATCTTTTATCAATAACTTGAACAATTTATAATCTGAGCAGTGTTGGGTTTTTTTCATAATCTAAATTTATATTAGTTTTTTTGGGAGGTAGAGACTGGAAATAGGACACTGGCTGTGTAGCAGGGAGGCATGTCTGCTAGTTTTACGAAATGTGGTGCCAGATGCAAATGCAAATGCAAATGCAACTGCAAATGCAAATGCAACTGCATCCAAAATGCAGACAGACCGGGGCATAGAAGGAGAAACTGGTTTATTGCTGAAACACCTATGAAAAACAGTCGGGGAATGATAGGGAAATCCAGGCAGGTAACGGCAGACAGACTGGGCAACCGGAGGAATAGATGACTGTGAGACCGCCTTTCGACCTCTGCAGCTCATCCAGAATGCAGCAGCTCAACTGGTCTTTAACCTTCCTAAATTCTCCCACACTACTCCACTCCTCCGCTCTCTTCACTGGCTACCGGTGGCTGCCCGCATCCAGTTCTGAACATTGGTGCTCACTTACCATGCTGTGAATGGATCGGGTCCAGCTTACATCCAGGACATGGTCAAACCCTACATCCCGACCCGCACTCCCCGCTCTGCATCTGCAGATGTCCCTCCCTCACTGAGAGCAAAATACTCGACTAGATCACGACTCTTTGCTGTCCTGCTCCGAAATGGTGGAACGAGCTCTGATGACATCAGGACCGCAGAGAGCCTTCACATCTTCGGCCGAAACTAAAGACACATCTCTTCAGACTCTACCTTGACTAAAGACTAACAAATTGTAGCACTTAAATTGTACTTGTAACGTCACTCATCTATAACAAATTGTAAATTGGCTTATGAGGAAATTGCACTTGTTTCTTGCTCTTCTGAGTTTGTACCCTATGGTTGAATGTACTTATTGTAAGTCGCTTTGGATAAAAGCGTCAGCTAAATGACATGTAATGTAATGTGAGAATAAAAACAAAGGGTCAGAGGAAAGGTTAAAAACTATTGGTTTTCTTGGCAGTGCTCATTGCACTACGATGGGTGGAAGAAACCAAACAGGAAAAGGTGTTGATATGCTATGACTTCAACCCTATCAAGTATAAGGTCTTTCCATTCAAACAGCCTTCAAGATTTACTGTATAAGGCCCTTCAGTCAGCTACAACAATTGGGTCCAGTTACGGTTAATTTCTTGTGGGTTCCAGCTCATGTAGGGTTTAGTGGGGAAGAGGAGTTTGCAAAGAGGGCAGAAAGAAAAAATTGAAATGCACATTAGTGTCATCAAAGCAGAGGTGTATTGTGTATTGTTTAGGAAAAACTTTTTGGAAAAACAGTTTGGACGGAAAAGAGAATGGGAGACATCCATATAATCTACAAAAGAATGTCAAGTTAGAAGTAGGGCTTGGCGGTATGGCCAAAAATCAATATCACGTTATTTAGAAAGATTCTGACGGTATCCCAGTATGTGATGATGTTGCTTTTTCAAGTACCGTAATTTCCGGACTATAGAGCGCACCTGAATATAAGCCGCACCACCTAAATTTAGAAAGGAAAAACAAATCTGTACCTGTAACACGGCACTAAACCTGCAGTAACATGGCATAAAAATGGCGGCGACGTATTTGCATGTTTTAACACGCACCCCCGCCACACATCCAATTTCTTACGCTAAAATAAATCCGTGCTGGTTCATCTCCAACCTCGCCGCATCTGTAACCCGATTTGCTGCACGTAGCGTAATTTACACCCCCCCCGTCGGCCGTAGCTTCACCCCCGACAAAATCTCACTCAAAGATTTAGTGAAAAGTTGGCAGCTCTGTAGCTCACAACAACATTACAAAGAAGCCGACGCGAGAGCGCTTAATACTAGCATCAATGTCTGAGCGTGTTATAACAAGCTTGCCAACATCGCTAACGAGATGTCTTGCTAGCCGCTAAACTTAGCGAAACCTGTTCGCTTACTTTGTTTATGACAATCTAGCAAGTCAACAATTTTCCAAACACAGTCAAACATCAAGTGCAACACAAGACAAAGCAGATGTCCTTTTTTACCCGGACATTTCCTCTTTTCGAGACTTAAAAAATGCGTCCGGGTAAAAGAGGACGTCTGTCACCCGAGCTAAGCTAGGCTGTATATGGGTGAGCAGTCTGCTACATGAGGGCACGTCTCCCCTGATAACTCGCTGGGAGTGACGGCTGCCTGTTGCAAGTGTGATAGCTGCGCAACCCCACAGTCGATACATGCAGGCAGCCTGACGGAGCGAACAGTGAGCGCACTCTGATTGCATGCTTTTCTTTTAAGTACCGGGCCTCACACAATGTCACAACCGTATTGTTTTCAACATAAGGGTACCGCAATACCTTTTCTAGTACCGGTACACCGTCCAACACTAGTTGCCACCAGAGGCTCGACAGATTTTGCAATAAATCGTTTTCTGATCTAATTTACGTGGGATTCTCCAAAACCAAAAACCTCCCAAACAGACACAGATCCTCTCTTGAGGTTATTCGAAGGGTAGGAGAAGGAGGGTATCGTTTGTCCTGTCTTGTAAGCTGGACTTCACCTCTTTATTGGTCTTATCTATTACAACTTTGTCATGTCACCGACAAAGAACATTCTCTCTAAAAGATATGTTTTACTATATTGTAATGCACAGCATGCCCCAGCTTGTAAGGTCTAATGACTGGTTCCAGGGGGAGAATGGTTGTTAAGGAACATCTGGACGCTGGTCCGCTTTTGGGTGAAGCAGGTGTGTGGTGGAAAACCTCAGAGCTGAAAAATACAGGCAAATCTGTTCTACTGTATTCCAGGAACGATTTACAGGAAGTGTAATAGCACTCCATCTCACTGCAGTTAAAGGAATTGAGGGCTTTCTTGCTTTCTCGACAGAAACTTCTATTTATAGTAGTTGGAATGACATCACGCTAGAAGACAAAAGTTAGGTTTTGGTAAGCCATCACAACATGTCACTTCACAACATCACCGTAGCGCATTCAGACTCTGGATAACCTGTGATTGTTTTTCACATCCATCTCCCCTCCCTCTAACCATAAGAGGTATTTCTCAATATATCTTACTATGACACTCAGTCAAAACACACTGATGTTGCATAGTCAAATGAATATGTTTAATTGGGGGGACCACCACAACAA